TTGATTTAACATCATGTGCTATCTGGGGAGTTTACTCTGACATTTCAGTCTTCCTGAAGGGAAACTAGGCAGAGAGTGAGAGGGGCACAAAGGACTGTCTGTGTGGATGTGCACACTTCATGTCATGCTGTGTCTGCCATGTGCATGTTTTTTTTTTTTTTTAACCTTTATCTGCCTCAGTTGCTCATATTTAAAGAAATAAACATTGACCAATTGCCAAACCATTTTGTTTTAAAGAACTTTGCAATTATTACATGATGCACATATTTTTTAATTGTATTCACTCAAATTTAGACGTTAAACTTCAATTTTTGGGATAATTTCTCTTTGCAGCTTTTAAAGTTTTTTTTTTTGTAATAATCTGAAGCTGCTATGTGATTCTAAATTGCTTTTAAATGTGTAACAGTTGTAGGTTAAGTGAATAATTACAATGCATTTAATGTATTGGCCTTATTGTGTATATTTGCTCTCTGCAAAAATACTGGGACAGTTCAGAAATTCTGGTTGGATTTAAGTCTCAATTATACATTTGATAGATTAAATTAATCCGTTTTTAAAGCTTTAGGAATAGCAAATACTTTAATGTTTGAACTTACTCTCACTTCCTGACCTGTTGATGTTGCATGTTGAGCTTTTCAAAAACCCTGAAACCCTCTGCATGTCGTTGAGTTTGTTCCTTCTGACTAACCGAGTGCTGTTTGCCTGTGTGTCTTGCCTGCCTTTGCTCTCGCCCTCCCGGCCTCCAGGGGCAGTGTTTGACCGCCAGGCGAGCATCCGGCGCTCCCTCATTAACACTGACACCGTGCCCCGCCGGCCCAAGAAGGTCAAACGCAGAAAGACTATATCAGGGCTGCCTGACAACATCAACCAGGAGCTAGGTACGGATCTCTGCGGAGCCCTCTGTGCTAACTCTCTGCATGAGCATCCTGCACTCTGTCACAACCATTGAAAGCTTTCTCTCTCTCTTTTTTTTTTTAACCAACATAGCCATGCCGGGTGGGTTATCTTTTCTTTTTTATATAAAGAGAGACAGTGTGTCTTGCTATAGTGAATTATTTCATCCCCCACTTTGAAAAACACTGAGCTCTTCACAGAACCTCTGAATTTATACTGCGATTAAATAAAACATACACTATATATTAATTAGGTGACTTCTAAAGGTCATTGTGGTTGCACTGAATTTTGTTTAGAAGGGAGTGAAAGCAAATGTAGACCACACTTTTCAGATTTTTCCTTGTCAAACATTTTATCCAAGGAAAATGTTTTGGAATTTCCTTCCCCTTCAAGATTGGTCACGACTTTTTGTGTGGGCCTGTCACATAAAATCCCATTATATTCCATTGAGGTTCATGGGTGTAATGACAAAATGTGAAAAAGTTCAATGTGTATAAATTTTAAGTTACTGGTAATGGACAAAAGCCTCACAGCTGCTCATATTTCAGTGTTGGAGTTCTGCTCTCCTCCACCCAGTTAAACTGAGCCTGCAGCCAGTTATAGAAGCTTCAAGTCTTTTTTGTGGTTATAATTTTGCTTTCATAGAGTTTTTTTTTTTTTTTTGTCTAGTGACATTAGGTGTTTTGTTTCTGGAATTTGTGCTTCAGAATAAATGACTCTCCAAGATCTGAGCCATTCCTATAAAAAGGTTATGTGCTCCTCTAACCTTAGTTACTCTTCTGTTTGTTAAGCGACACTAAGCTCTTTAAGCTGACACAGTGCTCTGACAGTGCAGCATGACTAATGTTTACATTTCCCTCAGTTGTCACATGGTTGCAGCATTTCACGTCCCCCTTTCTTTCTTTGGTCCCCGAGATCAATCAGGATAGATTGGAACGGAGCTTTAAAGTCTGGTTAGTGCCCCCTTTGACTACAGCGTCTGAGTGTCGGCAGAGCTCGCTCCGGGGAAATTGTCCCGCTGCTGTGTCCCCTCCCTCCTTTAGCACTGGAGCTGCCTGCAAAGTAGAGATGTAGCTTAATCTATCTATTGCAGCAGAAGCAGCAGCCAGGCTGTCAGTCCAGCTTTTAGCGAAGGAAGGGAGAGGGTGTATGCGTGGTGAGGAGACAGAAGGAGGAGGGAGAAAGGAAAGTACGCAGGAGTGAGTGCGCGAACACAAACATCAACAGGAGAGCCACCATAAATGAAATTAGACATCCTCTCTCTGTACATTCACTCCTCAGACTGTGCACAAGCCAGTATGGTTAGTATGCGTATTTTTTTGTGTATCTTCATTCGGTGCATGTTCTTGGGTTTCTGATCTTGGATGAGCATGTTTGCAATGCACATGCACGCTCATGTGTCTTTTGTGTAAATGTTAATGCGGGTGAAGTGGTCGGTAATCTATCAGGCTGAGCTACAATAAGATTCAGAGAGGAAGTGTAGTGGAGAGTGTCTCCCATCATCATTTCCTCGTTAATGACAAAGACCAGATTCTATTAACGCATGCGACAAGGTTATGCTAAATCGAATTAGTAATCTCGTTTTGTGACCAGTTCATCTGAAAGTCCGGTCCGATGAGAAGAAGGCTCTGTTGAACCGGAGAAAAGATATTTCACCATCACATGTTTCTTTCCCCCCCCCCACCACAGCAGCTAAAGGGCGAGGCGGAGAACTTCGGCCACAGTCCATGTTCATCCCAGGACAGTACTCCACTCTGGGCCGAGTGGGGAGCGTCAACTCAACTCTCCGACATTCAGAGACCAGAGACTCGAGCTGCCAGACGGAGGAAGTGAAGATCGTCCCCCCGTCTATGAGGAGAATCCGGGCGCAGAGAGGACAGGGGATTGCCGCTCAGATGGCCGGCATATCTGCTTCCTCTTCCACAGGAAGCATCTCCATCTCCAGCAGCGACAGCTCGGGGGTCGTAATGATGCCCCACCTGTTTAACGGTGACCTCTCCCGTTTTCACAGCCTCCCTCGACAAGGTGCCAGAGTGTCCCTCAGTGCTGAGCCCATCTATAGCAGCACGCCCAAAAAGCCAGAGGACCAGCCTCAGAGGCAGATTGGGAAGCTTCAGGTTGACGACACAGTGGTGCACATGAGGAATACTCCGAGGATGAACTCTTTACCCAGGCCCAAGTCTCAAGAAGTGAGGGGGACGCACCCTGCTGAGTGGGGTGGCAGCACGGCGTGCGTCGTCTCCCCTCATGCTGCTTATTCCACTTCCTACATCCCCAGTGCCACGCTGTCTAGCTCGACTGAAGTGATTAGCCTCAAGACCTCCAGTCAGTCAGTTTCAGCTTACCCCATGTCTCGAGCACTCAGCCAGGCTTCCTCCACCAACACCGACCATTTGATGTCCAGTCCAACCGCTTTCAGCCACAGCCCAGCCTTGGCCACTTCCACCCCCACGCACACACCTCAGGACATTTGTCTCACACCTGCCAGGCCAGCTAGTGAGTCGGGTCACTCAGACAGCAGCATCCACAGCCGCAGCACCCTGGCCCCCACTCCGCCGTCCTGCCTACCAGAAGAGAATTGGATCTACGACACGCCTGAAAATGTGATGACTCCACACCGCACCCTGACCTCCAGCTGCTCAACCCCAATCAACCAGCTCTACAGTAGCTTGGAACACTCCTCCAGGACCACCACCGACTCAAGCTCCCTCTACTCTCAGGATAACGATGGGTACTACACCTCTATGCACCTGGATTCGGGTCTACGCTCCCGAAGTCACGGTAGCGGGCATGGCGCCACAGCTGGGCGAACCTCCAGACACAGCATGTATGAGTGTCGCGCGATGGTCGGTGAGGAAGACTCTGGAAGCCTCTACAGCGACCGCTCCCTCTCCCGCAGCATCTCCCTCCGCAAGTCCAGGAAGCCCCCGCCTCCCCCGACTCGCACAGACTCTCTGAGACGCAAGCCTGCAGCAAAGAAGCCCCTAGGAGGCGTTGCCGCCATTAGCGGTGCTAATATGCCGAATGGCAGTATGCTCAGTGAGACTTTGATTGCTAGCTTGCAACAAAGCTTACAGATGGGACTGAGAGAAGGAAAGGGAAAGGGTGCTTCGCCCTCCTCACCGTCGCACAGCCCAAGCAGTGACTATGATGACCCTTGGGTGATGCGGTCACGCAGTCAGAGCAGCATCAGTGCAGGTAGCTCTGCAGCCTCGCTTGCAGCCAGCGCCAACGGTGTTGGCATGCCAAGCGTGTACTCTCTCTGCCACGTCACGCCCACCCCCAGTGACACCAGCAGCTTGCGTTCTGACTATGCCGAGTCCTGGGGATACTACTCGGACTACCCACGCAGCCAAGTTGACCAGAGGGTCCAGACACCTCCTGGCCACGCTGCAGATAGGGTCACAGCTGGGGGTCATCCAGGAAAGTTTCAGAAAGCAGTTCAGACACAGGGGGCTCCATCTCAGGAAGTAGAGGTGTCTGCAAAGAGCAAACCCTCCAACTCTTCACCGGACCGGGTGCACAGACTCACCTCGCCATCCAGCGGCTATTCCAGTCAGTCCAACACCCCCACAGCTGGAACGCCGGTACCCGCATTCGTCAGGTCCATGTCTCCGTCGGGCGGAAAACCTAGACCGAAAGTCCCGGAGAGAAAGTCGTCTCTCCTTTCCTCGGTTTCTGTCTCATCCTCCTCTACATCGCTGTCCTCCAACACCTCAGACAGTCTGAAGTGCTCTGGTCCCCCTCCACCACCTCCGCCACTGCTGTTCTCCTCCTCAGCTCCCACCACCCCTCTAAATGCACCTCCGCCCTTCCCTCCCCCTCCAAGTTCTACTCCTCCACCTCCGCAGGATATTTCTTTCCCTGCTCACTCCACTTCCCCAGAATTCCCTCCTCCACCGTCCCCAGACATGCTAATCCATACTAGCTCATCTTTCAATGGGAGCCTCAGTCCACCCCCTCCCCCGCCTCTCCCTGCCATAGGGCCCCCTCCACCTCCTCCACTTCCTGCTTTTGCTTCAGTGTGTACCTCTCCTCCTAAGAAGACAGCAAAAGATCCTCCTAAGGCAGACCTTTCCAATAGCCCCTCAAAGTCGCCGAAGCCCTTGATCACCCCGTTTGCGCTGCAGAGTGTTCAGCTCCGCTCAGTTAGACGGCCAGAGAATGAACTCAACAGTAAACCAGACAACATCGAAACGAGTCTGGAAACCATTTTGGGTCTGAAACATCAGGACCAGGAGTTGTCTTACTCTCAAGGTCATCCCACTGTACTAACCTCGTTGACTGGCTCACCAGAACAGGATTTGCTCAAGGCCCCGCCGTCACCCGTGTCGCAGCTTCTGGAAGAGCTGTCACTGGACTGCAGCTTCACAGATGAAACACCAGATGGCGCTCCCATCAACGGGGAAACCGAAGAGCAGAGTTACCGTATGCTAAACGGTGAAGAAAACAAGGAACGTAGCTCCCCCATCAAACAAAAGCCCCCAGCCGTTGCCAAGAAACCCAAAGTTTCTCTGATATTACCGTTTAGCCCAGGCGAACATGTCCAGCCGCAGCTTCGGGATGCAACTCCTCTAACCCAAGCAGATGACCAAGTGGATGCACCACCCAGGCAGATAGAGGAGGAGGTGATAGAGCAGAGTGAGGAACAGGAAGAGGAGGATACTCAAGAAAGCTTTGAGCTGTCAGGGAGAGGTGAGACATCACCAGACCAGGATGACTCCTGCTGTACAAGTGAAGACACAAGTGTCGATCATGAACTTGCAAATGGAGAGGCTCCTGACGAAGAAGAAGAGGAGGAGGAGGAGGAAGACGGACTGAGTAGCACCACTGGGTCCATCAGCTCCAAGGATGATGATATAGGTGAGTGTCAATTCAATTTTGTATTCATTTTTAACAGGATAGACTCTAATGCCAGAAACACTTAAGCTTTATTTGATAATCTTCTATGGTTAGAAGTTGAGCTGCTGGCTGCTGTTTGAGTTGAAATTAGATTTATTTATTTTTTTTCTGGTTATGAAAATTAAATGCTGTGGCTTATCACTGGGCCAGCAGTGCTGCTGCATAAAATCAGACTTTCTCCTCCTTTACACACACACTTCCTGTTTCCCCCACCCATCCCACCACACTCTCTCTGGAAAGTTCCAACAAAGGCTGGAAAAGCATGGATTTTCCTTTCAGATCTGAAGTGTGAAAAAAAAGAAGTGAAAATCAAAAGTGTGAAAAAAGAGAGCTGGAAATATAATTGTGTTGCCAGGCTTGATTTCCAAACTCATTGTCTAAAAGTTGCATTTAGCTTTCCCTCCATCCTTCAACCCATCCATCCAACTATCTAATCTTTAACCCATCTGTCAGGGCATTTATTTATACATCTGTCCTGCTCTCCATCCATCCATCCATCCTACTCTTATTGAGCCTTCTGCATGCCTTTAATTCCTTTTTGTTTAAAACTTTAAGAAAAGGCTAAAAATAGACTGAGAACTTGATATTTGACTCTGCAAAAGGGAATTATAAACCACTCTCGGTCCAAATATCCACTTTCTCTTTCTTTTTTTTTCTGGGCTATTCTTCCATACTCCGTTTTCCTAAATCGGTCCTTTCTGGCCCGGTCCACCCCTCCTCCCCTCTCTCTCTCTCTCTCTTCGTATGAGGTAAGGATGGGGGCACGTGTCCCAGGGGAGACGCTGTTTTGTGGTTGGAGGGGAGATCGGCGGGGGGAGGGGCTACATGGTGGAGTGGAGGGAGGGGAACTGATCCTGTAGAGAGGATGAAGGGGAGGACGGGGCGAGTGTAAACTGTGACTGCAGGCAGTTGATGCTCAGACCTGAGTGAGGGAAGGATGAGAAGGCGACATATGGAGTGGAGGAGAACGTAAGAGGACAGTCAGGGATTCCACCCCTTTGGATATCGCCAGGTTAAAGCGACAAGATGGAGACATGACCGTGTTTTTTTTTTTTTTTTTGTCTTGTTTGTTGTGTGAAGATGTAAATAAGTTGCCTTTCCCCCCTCCCCCCACTCAGGTGAGGTTTTTGAACCCAGCACGGCTGAATCGTCTCCGGCCCCGTCAGTGAACGAGGCGTCCGAGAAGAACATGGTGACCCCTACTCCTACCGCTACCCGACCCAGAACCACCGAGGACCTCTTTGCTGTGATTCACAGGTAGGAACTCATCACAACTCCCCCACAAATCTCAGGGGCCAACTTCAGAAATGTAATTCGTTCTCCTGAGCCGCGTCTTGTTTATCCGAACCTTCTGCTCAACATCCAATTCCCTCTTCCTCACAAACCGATGAGCTCCTTTCCTCTCCATCACCCTTCAGGAGTCGATTTCTTTCCCTCCGCCTCCACCCCTTCACCTCTCCGATATAACTTTAGCAATCCAACACCGTCCAGCGTTGAAGCAAGCCTTTTCCGGGCAGTTTAACGACAAGACGTGATATTTCAGAAGCCGAAATGATTCATTAAATGTTCATGAAGGCATCTGTGCTCATTTAGTCACATTATCATTGCTCACTCTCAACAGGAGAGGAGGGGGGGGGGGAAAGACAGTTTCTTCATTTATTATTAACTATTGAACACCCTCAAGTCCTAATCTAGGTTAGAGGCCACTGGAGACTTTCCCATCTTCAGTCTTCACGTTTCTGCTCTCTGTGACACATTCTGCATACGTTGCTCTGCCTTGCTCCGCATAAATATCCCATGCAGCCCGCCAGTTTGTGCTCCACGGTCACGTGCGACGGCAGCGGCAGTCGGACTTCTCCCTGAGCTTCACAGCGTTTCATTTTCGCAGGATTTTTATCTCCGCTCAGAAGAGGGGTTTTTCGGTGCGTTCATGGCACCCGTTGCGTCACGTGTACAAGTGTGGTGGTGTGTTGTTGTCGTGCAGCCTAATTAAAGATGAAGACTGCATGCAGCTCGCAGGCGAGTTATTTGTATTTGTTTGGCACACTCCTCCTCCACAACACCTCCGGAGGGGGGACGGAGCGTAAAGAATAATTTCACATTAGGATTTCTGGAAGTGCTAGACATTTAGGGATTTTTTTTACACCTGTTAGTGATCACAATTGGAGGTTTTTAGCAGCAAAATGGGCAGAAATTTAAAACGAATTGGACATGTTGAGGCGACACACGTTCAGTGACTGTTTCTTTTTCTTGGGACGAAAAAGATGTGCGCAGCAGGTTGCTTAATAGAGGTAGTAGTGTCGAGCAAAAAGGAGATGAAGGATTCATTAACCTCTATCGCTAACCTCTATCTGATTTTTATTAAACCAATAAAAGATTTTAATCTAATGCCTTTGATCATCAGAGGAAAAAAAAAAAATCCTGAATTTTCAAGGCAATCGCTGACTGGAGACAGTAAAGGAAAAATTAGCCGAGTTTAAACTCTGACCAAGCAATTGAAGCTGGGAGACACCAAGTTATTTTTAGCTTTCACATCTGGTTTCTGTGGGGTTTTTTTTTTTTTTAGTTACTGATGAACTTTCTGTGTGAAAAGTCTTCAGAGCCCAAGCAGAAAACTTACCTGAAATAAAACACTCCAAACCGGCCAGGGGGAAGAGATCGATGGCGTGCTCGGAGCTCGGTCTCATATTGCACATGTTTTCACCTCTAGAACTGTTGATGCTGTTCAGTGTGCCGTTATCACGGTCCGCCGAATTCAGGTTCCCTATCTTATGCAATGCTCAGGTGACAACAGCGACTTGCAGAGGGAGTCTGCAGGGATGAGATCTAATTTAGGCCAAAAATGCATTTTGAAGTGAGATTCCTCCAATAATCGATCATGTTTTCAGTCCTCCCTCTTATGACCTTCAGCGAGAGCTTTATTTTTTCTTTCTTTTTCCCCCTCCTGTTTCTAAATAGAGGATTTTTTTGCGAAGACTAGAGGATTACAGATTCTATATATGTCCTTCACGTATCGGTACCTTGAGCATCAGGTTCCCACTCTGCATTTTCAATGCATTTAATTACGTTCTCACAGAGGCGCTGCTAGGCGTACTGGGGGCATGGGATCAGACTCTTTTAAATAAAACATTTACTCTAGTGTTCTGATTTTAATCACTTTGGTTTGAATGGAAATTTTACTCTGTACACTATTTAGTGGTGCACAACAGACAAATATCCTGTAACTCTGTAAAAAGGTTCTGAAGATCCCCACCGGTGCTTGAAATCCTTAAAGACACTGCAGTTGAACCTGGTGTTTTGTTTTAAAAGTGCTTACATTTTGAGTAAAGTGTTTAAGGTTGCTTCAAATTGTTTTTTTTTCTATGTTGCTACCAAAACCTAACAACTTACTCTTGTTTTGCGTTGCTAACCTGGTAAAGCAAACCAATAAAACTGCTTTGAGGTAGATTAATCATTATTTCTAAGTAAGAATTGTGTAAAGCGTTTAACCAGTTTTTTTTTTTTTAATACTAAATCTACTCATTAAAATTAGTTGAATTCTATCAATTTCTAGACTATTTCATCTGAAACTGATTTAACTAAAATAATTATATTAATTTTAACTCATTCCAGTTTGTATTGACTTAATCTTTAGACGAAGCAGCAGATACGTGTCTATTTAAATTTCATTAATAAAACGGAAGAACAAAACATTAACTCAGAGTCTCCTTTAAAGTACCAAGGTTCTGCCGTCTCAGAGGTGCAATAAACCTGCTGTAGTTTTCCTTCTGCAGTGTAGAGCAAGGCTGCAAAGTGCTGATGAAAATATAGCAGAGGTGAGAAGGTACAAACGGTGCTCTACGGAGTTTCTGCATTGTTTTATACATAATTATTTCCATTTTATTTCTTGAAAGGCGTAAATTGACTCGATTGTTCAGTGCGAAAAGGATGTTTATTAGTCTTTGAGAGGGCGTCATTATGATTATTATGACATTATCAATACATTTCTTGAAAAACGTCTCAAAACAATATTTGTTGTCCAGCAAAATTTGTTGTAGCGGCCGGCGTATGCAAAGTACCAAACAGCCCTGTCAGAAGAACTTGAATGACAGGCACTGAGTGATACCTGAAATCCCCTCAATTTTTAATAAAGTTTTACATGTGTTGTACTTAGATTTAATGTACTTGTTGTTGTTGTTAATTTAACCCTTGAACTCACCGTTCCTCTAAACATATAGTGAAGCCAAAGTCGTCTTTGTGTCCGCAGGTCCAAGCGGAAGATTCTGGGACATAGGGAGTCTGAAGAAGAAAAGTCCCGAACTGGGAGCCAGCCCCAGTCTCCACCGTCGACCCCCACCAGCCTGTCTCCGGGGGCGGCGTCATCGCTGCCCCGCCAGGCGGGCTCGATCCAGCGCAACCTCCGCAAGACCTCCACCAGCAGCGACTCCTTCAAGGCCCTCCTCCTCAAGAAGGGAAGCCGCTCCGAGACCAGTTTCAGGATGTCTGCCGCCGAGATGCTTCGCTCCACTGACCCTCGCTTCCAGCGAACACGCTCGGATGGCGCGTTGGACCCCGCTCTGGGTTCGCCCACCTCACCGATGACCCCCAACAGCCCCTCCAGCTCTCCCAGCCGAGGCAAGAGGGCATCCGAAGTGGAGTGGAGCCGCTACGAGGGCCTGTCGTCGCCGACGTCCTCGCCCTACTCGATGGGCATCTCAAAGTACGGACGCTCTCGCACGCCGCCGTCTGCCGCCAGCAGCAAATACAACGCCCGGAACAGAATCCTCAGCAGCCCCATGACCGTGATCTGCGAGCGCGAAGGAGAGCTGGCTGAGAACGAGAACGGAGAAACCGCCGAAGATCTGTCCAACCCAGCGGTCCGGACTCTCCCCGTGCTCACGGACTCCAATGGCACTTGAAGAGCTGAGCTCACGTGGAACATAACCTGGAAGGGGGGTCCGAAGAGGGGCATCCCCGAACTCCAGCCCCCTTTGCGCTGCCTCTGAAGGAGGGATCTGATGCCGGTGGTCACCTGATCACGAACCACGCAAACCTGTCTGAAGTGGGGGAAAATGGCTCTGCTCCTATGATTTCACTCAGTCTTCTAGTGACTCACCTCCTGTTAAAAGAAGTGGTTCTTTAACATCTGGTGTCTTTTTATTTAAATGTTTTAATCATCCCTCTAGTTTAATTAAAGAACAAGCATTTGGGGGCAAGCTAAGGTGAATTGAAGGAATCAGAGTTGTAAACATTTGACTTTGCAGCTGTGGTTTTTGAAAAGGCTGGAATGTAAAGACGTGGTTTTTGCTCAGCTTGTAAAAACTTTCTGTGTTTCGCTGACTGGCTTTCGAAAGTGACTGAAAGCAGCACTGTTTACAGAGTCTAAGTGAATGGAGGAGCAGGTACAGCAGACAGAAAGCCCGACGGTACACCTTCAACTGTAGAAACACCAGCTTTTTTTACTTTGTGCTCACGCCGTTAATGTGTTGAGTGGTCCACGGGACGTGCAGAGGGGCTCAGTGCTGCCACCTAGAGATGGGATCAATGAGGACGATACCAAGGCTGGATGAAAAAAACAACAAAAAAAAAACAAATCTTGACTTTTAGTTTGTAGACTTTGCACTGTGCATAGATCTGTTTCTGTTTGTGACTTTGAATTATGTTTTAAAGATCGTTTTAGTTATGAGTTGTGTTTGGGAGTTAAATATGAACCTGTAAATGTATATTAAAAGATCTTATTTTATTGTCCAGGTCTTTTAGTTTTCATGTGGGTAACCAAAGAGTTTATTATTAAACAGAACTGGCTGTTAATCTGAACTCTGCCTGAGGGTGTGTTTTTGTCTGGCAACAAATCTGTTTGATGTTTGTAGAGCTTAAATGATTTCTTTTTACGATGTCTGACTAATTGTTTTACAAACTATAACATTTTAGAGCCCCGTGTTTACTTCTACATCGTTTATTTCTCGTTGCAGGGCGTTGGGATTTTGTTCCTTATTCATTATAAGGAGGGTTACTTCATAGTTCTCATGTCAAATTTCAGTACTCTATACTTTTTTACATTTAGATTGCTGTATAAATACAAAGAATTACTTTGGCAATAATTTTCTGTGCTCAGGAATTAAATATGTAACATTGATGATCGAATGTTGGACGGACGGATGGATAGATTGACGAATGGATGGTCCCGATTTACAATGGACTGATGAACCAACAGATGATGGATGTGTACAAAACTTAGACAGCTGGATTTGAGAATACAATCTGGAAGTACAAGACCTGGAAAAACCACTAGGCCTCCATAGATTTCCAGGTTGCTTAGGAGCCGTGAGCGTTTGATACAGACATTTCTGTTAATATTCCTCCTACTGCTCCTGTCCTCATTCCTGACTTGTGTAAATCTGTTTCTGGGGCTCACAGCTGGGTAAATATGCTCCCTTCAGATTTATGAACCGAACTGACAGGCATGTGATGTACTAGCCGTACCAGCCTGTGTGCCTCTCAGCCTCTGTGTGGCGATGACCGAGCGCTTGCTTGCAAACATCTCAGTTCTGCGGCTTTGTTAGAGGCCGGTTGGCAGATAGGGGTGGGAGTGAAGTGCCAGGCTCCATTTGTACGTCTGTAATAAAATAAAAAATAAAAAAAACAAGGTGATATTTAAATATGTCAGTTCTCTGTGTGTGTGTGATGCAGGGCCATCTGGCTGCCTGACGCACCAAATCATATCCTCATTAGCGCCGTGGTCATGCCATGCTCCTCGGTCATCTGGAAAGCTCAACCCCCTCCTCTCCTTTTTCCTCTTCTGTGGGGTCATCAGTTACATCTCCTCCTGGTCATCCTCGTTAGGGATCTGAGCAACAGTGAGCCGTTCTGACTCCACACTGTCCACCAGTTCAGTAAAAAACTTAAAAAAACAAAAAAAGCTTTCTGGAAGGTATTCTCAGAGGAACAGAAAAACAGATCTCCTCATACAGTTTCGAGTGATTCAGCAGTCACCTGTCCTCCACAAGCTGCCTCCATCTGGCCATCAGATGGGAATCAATACCCTCCCCTCCCGGCTCTGATCACACTCCAGACGCTTCCTGCTGTCCTTCTGTTAGCACGTGCATCTGCGCGGCATCTTCACAGGGTGCGACTAAAAAAAAAAAAAAAAAAGAGATCAGCAGAGTAATCTGGAATATTTCCAGCCATGCGACATACTGCAACCTGGTCAACATGCTGCTCCGGATCCCCAGTGTTGGAAAACCAGTCGGTGTTTAGGTGCCATTTGAATTGTTGATCACTTACCTTGTTTTTTTCTTCTTCCTCCAGGAGATGCTAGTGGATTTTAAAAATGTACACGTTAAACGTGTTAAAATCTTGAAAGGCTTTTAGGGAAATTTGATGTCCTGTTTTCCTTGTGTCTGGTGTTTTAGTCATGCTTCAAAAAGGAATATTTCACTGTAAGATATTGACACATATGATATTTATCAGGTTTTAATACATGCAAGCTCATTTGTGTAAACTTTGTCACATTTAGATGACGAATTAAAACAAACACTGAGCATAACATAAGAAAAATGTGTTGCACGTCATGTAATTGACGAATGGATTACCCATTTATGCATAAAGTACGTAGCCAGGGTTTTTTTTTTTTTACACAGTCTGGGAAATTATTAAATTCAAAGTATTCAGAATAAGGATGGAAAAATAAATATTAGCACGGCTGATCTTTCAAGATACTTACATTTTCAAAACTTTATTCCTAATCTTGTAGTTTAAATTTTTTATATCCTGTCATCTGTTCATCCATCCATCATATGTCAGCCATTTGTCCACCCATAGCCAGCTGGAACGTCATCGACCACACAGTAATTATCCAATGGCAGGCTTGTAACTGTTTGGTCCGTTGAATGCAGGTGGCAACTTTCAAGTTTCAGTTAATTCTTCACCAATTCCTCCACGGAGTGGCAGCTAAAAATGCCCGACTCTGGCATTGAGATTGAAACAGGAATGTTATGTATTTGTTTCCAGCTACGCCTCAGTGGGCACCTTAAATTACATTAAACTGAGTTTGTGTTCTAAAAGAGAAAAACAAAACAACAAAAAATTCTGCTGAATGTCTGAACATGATATTGGGAACAATCCAGCCATAAATAAAACGAGTGATTCAGCAGAGACGAAGCTTAGGAAGACGAGGGCAACACAAACAGCGGCGAAGATCTGATCCGGCCGATAAAAGGTCACGATGGCCGGGAGTGTGGAGGGCAATCAGAACGTTTTCACATCACAAGTTAAATGTCACCAAATGAATTGTGGAGGTAAATGTGATAAAAGTTAAAAAAAAACAACATGAACATCGATTAGTTCTCTTTATTACTGATGAAAACGCTTTACATTCAACATCACATTGGAAACAATTAATCAAGAACATTGCATCACACAATTACTCATATAAAAAGCTCATGTTAGTGCTTATGACTGCCTTCCTGTAAATATTGACAACACACTATAAATCTAAAAGTGTTGCGGGTTTGAGTCACACAGCACCACCTGCTAACTTTATATGCCTTCATCCATCACTAGCTCCAGAGAAAAATGACAATGAGTTTTCAGCGGTGTGACGCGTCCAGAAATAGTGACTCGGTCATTAATCATAATGGATCTGATGGGAGAGGCTGCGGCTGAGGTCTGAGACCAGATAAGCTGGGATTTCTCAAAGCAGGGCCAAGTGATGTAAAAGTATAAAAATATGAGTCAACGCGAATGATCTGTGTTCATTTTCCATTTATCAAGACGTTAGATAACAGACCGAGCGGAAAGAAAAGAGAACCTCTGGAGGAGCTGAAGAGATTCACAGCTCAGGTGGGAGAATTTGCATGCTCTGAATGAATCTGGCCATTATGGGAGAGTGTTGAGAGAAAGGAAGGAAGTCCCTTTTTTTTTTTGTCTGCACAAGCCATGCAGAGGACACAGCAATGATGTGGAAGGGGGAGTTCTGGTCAGGTGAAAACTATATGGAGGCGTTTAGCCTATATGCAGAGAGCTTTGATAGGAAGGTGGGGTTAAACGTCTTGGGCGGGGTGGACTTCAAATTGTGGTGGAGGTTCACAGCTAAGCTCATTCATCTGTTAGAATCGGCCAATTTCTACATCTGAGTCCAATTAAATGTGGCAAAACTGGAAGGTAAATACCATAAAAGACTTGCAACAGAAGGAAGTTTTTTTTTTTTTTTTTGCAAAATATTGACTCTGGGGTGCTGGACAGAAATGCTGCCAGACTGTTTTTGGTAAAAAAAAAAAAAAAAAAAAAAAAATTGGTGTAGTGTGGCAAAAATGGGAAAAGTTTGAAATCATTTTCAAATGTTGTTGAGCATCCTAACGAGAGATGGGACAAGATTTTTGGTCTGTTTATTCTCAGATGGAGCAATAGCAGCAGATGCTTTATAAAACCACACTGGCCCCTTTCATATTTATTACATGTTAACAAATTGTTCTGTTAGTTAATAAAATCTCCTTTTAAACCAGTAAAACAACACTCACAATCAAAAGCAAAAATTATGTTATGCATGTAAATTATGTAAAAATTATGCAAGACAAAAAAATAAAACATCAAGGCACTTTTTAATCCAGTTAGCGCCACCTGCTGGACATGTAGTACCAATCACTGCTGCATCTTCCAAGTATTTGGTCTTGTCGTCAACGTCAGTAAGTGCTTTAAAACGGTAAATTACCGACTCATGCTTTTCAAACATTAGTCTGAGCGTTTGTTAAGTTGCTGCTAGGCGCAACTTCACTGCTGCTCTGCTTTCTTGAGGACCCACACCTCGTTCCTGCGGTTGGTCAGTTTGAAGGGGCTGTCGTATCCGGCCGTGTAGTACGGCTTGTCGACAAATTCGACGCCGTCCCTCTTCAGGCTCTCCAAAAGCTTCAGCAGCTCTTCCCTCTTCATGTTCTCATTGGAAAAACCACCATAAGTCCTGGAAATAGGATCATGAATTAGAATTTAAGCCCTTTATATTTGCGCGACTATATCTAAAATAAAAATAAAGGTGTACATTATTTGAACGATTTTTTTTTTTTGCTAAAGAGGCGATTTAATATTTGGCACGTACAACAGATCTAAAGTAAGGTATTTCACATGCAAATTAGCTGAAATTGGGCATATCCCTGTCCACTAGATGGCAGTAATGTGCTTTCAACATCAACCTGGTTTGAGTCACAAAGGTTAGAAACGCCAACTTGACTGGAGGTTTGATGTGAATGATGCAATGTTCATCATGTTGTTCTCTCTAGAATTATTGTAGTGTCTTCAATCACATACCAGAACCAGATATGCCATTAATTCAATTAATTACAAATCAACAACTGACACTCCATGGCAACCAGACCCACAAGTCTATTTGCCAATGCTACCAGGACAGGAGACATCCCATCTGCATTTTTCTGGTTTCTTGCCAGTGTCCATTACCTGACGTATGCAGTGAACTCTTTCCGGTCCTCCAAGAACACGTCGGGGTCGGTGGGCTCAGGCGGGTTTTCCTGAAGCTCATCTGGGATGTAGAAGGACACGGTAAACTGAGATTCGCAGGCGGGGCCGGCTCCAGGGTCCACACGGCACGTGACAGGTGCCGTCATCTCCACCTTGGTCTCTAGAGAGGGAGGAAAAAGCATGCAACAGGTGCCCGGTTTGAGACACGACGAGCTTTTGTTGGGGGGATATCGGGTTCGGTTGCTTGTATCAAAACTTTGTTGCAAAACGATCCCTGACCAGATGGTGGATTGAAAAGATTAAACCCCGTGTTTACAGGCAGGACTCCAACCTCTGACGCAGACTTCAGCGTAGAACAACACAAACAATATATAACATCATCAATAATGCTACTGCAAACTGCTGAGTCACACAAAAGCAGCGCTGCCGCCGCAAACTGCTGAGCAGGAACTAAAGTGCCCTTTCTCTTGCATTTATTCATCAACTTCTTTGTCTTGAGCTGCAGTTTTTCTGCACGTTTCTTCACTTGACTGGTTCTTTCTAATTAAGTGTCTAATATTCTGTAAAGTTCAGTGCTTTGGATAAGAAAAAAACAAAAAACATCTCTCAACAATGGATGCACAAAGTTACAACAAAATATGGTGGCTTATCCCCCCCAACCCCCCTCTTCTCTGTTCATGTGACAAAGTTTCACACGGACTCACTGGTTTTGTTGTTGCCCTGAATGTAGCGGAAGAGCCTGCGGAAGCCGGTGCTCGTACATTCATCACCCTGCATCCCACTCACAGTGGTGCTCATCCACCTAGTGGGATGGTAGGTGCGGATCTCATAGTCCTGACCCTGTTAAACAAAGACCCATAGTCATTAGAGTTGAGGCTGGTGGTGTTTTCACTTCTGGGCTATGCATTTTCTTTTCAAATGATCACAATATCATTAATGCTTCCCTAAAAATAATACACGGTTAAAGCGGTTTTTGATCTTCTTTCAGGGGGCATCTCATCTTTACATACTTCTCCTGATTGTCACCTTTGAACAATGAGATCCTTTTTAATTCGTTGTTAACTCTATGTGAACGATGGCTTTAGCTAAAGGACGGACATGAGTAAATGTCTAGAAATGCTCAGACTTTATATGCAGCTTAATCAGATTTAGCAAAATTGATGACAGGCTGGACTCAAGAACACTGAAAGTTGGATTTGAATGGGAAGGTGCTTCAACCATTCATTAGTTTAAATAATTTTTTTTTCTTCCTCTAAGTTGTTTTTGTTGTAACAGATTTGGTCATTTTGGTGTGCCGATAGTTTGAAATCTCTAAAAACTGCAATTTCAGTACGGCTGCATACACTTTTTATATTCACTGTATGTAAACACAGAATATAGTGACTGTATGTCTGTCAGTGTTTAAAAAGCAGACATTATGCATACAAAAGTTGTACACAATGGTAAATATAGTATATTGATACAATTTTGTCGCTCAAGTCCCTTTTTCAACCCAAACTTTTTTTTAAACTAAAATTAATTTTATAGAACAAAATGTTTGCAATAGTAAAACTGAGTTTAAAACATAGCACCATTCCTATTTGATCTAAATGTTTTACTCAACTAAAAACAATTCTATGTAGTATTATTAAGATCTCAATGACATATTAAAAAGAAAAAAAAAATCCCCAAAGTGCAAAATGTTTCATGTTCATGGTGCATATTTACTCAACAGTGAGTAACTAAATAAAGCCTGTTAGGATGGAGAAAAAGAAAATGAGAACCATTTTATCTGAGAACCAGATAAAAATGGTCCTTATTTTTTATCTGAGAGGTTCAGTCAGTGAATGTGTTAAGAGATAATAAGACCAGCTGTTGAATCATGTAACTGTGAACTGAGTTCATCTACATCATCCAGAAAAGTGGTCCCATGATAGTCGGGAGGACAGAGCATTTAAAGGTCTGAAGTTCTGGTTTTATGGGCCAACTGAGAATAATTTACCTTCGGCTCCTCTGCTGTGAATTTAGGACTCTGCAGTCCGGTGGAGAAAAAAGCTTGTCCCAGAGCTTTCAGCATGACCGACGGGCAGCTTCTCCTCAAATAAGAGAAAATCCTCAAATCTTCAGTTTTCAAACTTCTGGAAACAGCTGAAGATCTAAGAGTGAAACCGCACAAAATGAGGTTACATCATCACCAACAACGCCCTGTTTTTAACTTCTAGCTTGAGTGTCATTATCCCCAACTTTAGATACATCCAACTGTTTCATTTCTAACATTGCTGCAAAAATAATGAAGCAGTTACCTATCGATAAGCGCGTTTGATCCTCTCCACGGTGCAACGAGCAATGTTGCGTTTCACAACAGCGCTTCCTGTCACCGACCCTCTGACGTCTGATTGGTTGAGTGACTCAAACTTCAAAATAAAAGACCCAATTGTTACATGTTCAAAATGAGTCACAGGATGAGTTACAAAACTGGCGATTTTGGCAGGTTTCAAAATAATGTCAGTCATTTTAGATTTATGTTACTTAAAAATGGTTTCTTGGTGCAAAACATTTAAAAACATTTCATTCAGTTTAACCAACAATGGTAAAGAAGTGTTCAAAAACCTTAAACAAGGTTGTTGTGGAGACACTTTTTATTGCATATGTCACTGTCAATATGGAGCAATTTCATGCTAGCATCAAATTTTCTTTTAGTTACTTAAATGGCCTGTTGTCTTGCTTTCAGCATTATTATTATTATTATTATTATTATTACGGATATTATTGACCCATTCAGAAGAGCGACAGAATTTGGGTATTATGAAACAAAACATTTATACCTAAGAGACAAAAAGCGATGGATCGCTAAAAGTTCCACACACATTTTGGCCCTTTAAATAGTATACATTTTAAATAATGCTCCACTACAGCTACTTCTGTTTTATACGTTAGCATTGTAAAGTTTTTCATTGAAATTATTTCCTAGTGTGGCCTTTATTAACCCCAGTGAATAAATATATCAAATTAATAGTTGGATTTTTCAAAAAAATAAATATATAAATAAAAAAAATTAGTATTCCATTATTTCACTGCAATAAAAAGTACACCTATTTATAGATTGCAACATAAGTTATGGAGGGCAAAACAGGTAAAAATGAAGCTCTAAAATATCTTTGATTATCTGACTTTAATCTAGTTTCACCAAAGTGTGGTAACAGTGTCTTCCCTTTATTCACTAACTTTAATATTTACATCCAATAACTTGAGATTTCACTCAACAGAAAAATAAGTACATTGCAGCATTTACAACAATTGTCAGGCACAAAAAGCGAAGGAAGTCAAACTTAAAAACAGAGTTTTAGGTCACACACAGTGAGCTGCTACAACCAGGCTGGGAAAAAGTGAGGAAAAAGCAGAGCTGCAGCTGGTTTTAGTATCCAGCTTCATCTTCTGTGAAGAAGACGAGTCATGGCGTTACAAGTTGAACTTGTATTTAAGTTTTAAAGAAGGCTACACTGACAATACAGACACTGATGCATAGTTTAACCATTAAAATCCCATCTGTCATTGATAAAGTGATGTATGAAAGCACAGCGAAGTATATCACCTATCAAGAAGTTGAGAAAACACAGATGCACAAGAGAGGTCAAGGCATGGTAAAAACAACAGCATCGTTTTCATTGTCTCCATATTGTGGTGTAAGGCAGAATGATTCAGTGTAGTTCACTGAGGGCGGAGGAAACATTGAGGAAGCAAACTGGTTCAAAGGACAGCCAATAATTCATACCTTCAGTTCAAAAAAACTTCCCTGAAAGTCATCAAAGCAAGGAGCTTGATAGTGGTCTTAAAGCAGTTTAATGAATGAACAATAAGTTGAGTGGCCACATAAAAAAACATTTTATAATCTGACGACTTTTTCGTCCTTTTATTGTCAAATAAATAATGATCAATGGATCACACGGCCTTTTCCGAGGCGCTCCATCACTTTGTGCCTCAGAGGACGGTCTGCAGCTGACGAAGCTCTTGAAGGTTCATTACTTTGCTCAGTACTGGTGATGTTGATGGATGAAGGTTAAAAACTCCTTTTTGGACAGTTTCTCTGGGTCCGTTCGGGTCTGGGAATCGTGGACGATGACTCCTTCCACCCAGGCCCAGAAGAGTCGCTCAGAGTGACAGACGCTGAGGAATTAAAACAAACCAGATATTTCAGAGATGATCAACTTTTCTTACATTTATTTACTTACTGTCTTTGATTAGGATTCTATGTAGCTGACCACCAAAAAGTTGTGCAAAGTTATAAGCGGAAGGAAAACAACACTTGGTTTTCAAAGTTTATCACAAATAACAATGTGGACTGCAAAGCTCCACTCTGGGAACAATGTTTTCCTTCCACTTTACTTTCTGTTGGTCTATCATCGCCAGTTAAAGCTTTTAACACTTCACACCCCTTCATCTTAACAGGGTATTGATACTTTTGCGATGTATCGTAGGACTGAACAGAAAGGCGTATACATACCGGAAAGGAGCAGCAGCATTTGGTGGCATATCATAAGTCGATTCCTTGGTTAACTTGTTATAGAAAAACTTCTTGTTTGAGTTTTTGCTGTATGCCATCGTCCACGGCTCTGAAGGGCGACAGGAAGAAAAACTGAGTTTTGCTTTTATTTTTATATTTTAACACATCCACTGCTAGACATTGAAAAGCACAAATACTCACCATTGACAGTTTTAATGATATAGAGGCCTGTGGGAAGGAAGTGGCGGTCATCTCTGCCGGTGTAGGACAGACGAGGGACGCCTCCTGAACTCTTGGTCATCTTCATCTCTAGTCTGAGGGACAAAAAGAGATCAATTTGCATCGTTGGAGACAATTTCTTATGAAAACAAATAAAATAGCACTGGTCTTAAAGAAAACACAGAAACCCTATAACTACAGGTTGCCAATGGGAGATCAATTTTTTACCTGACAAAGATTTTCTCCATTTCCTCCAGTCTGTAAACTTCCTTGACTCTGGTTGGGAGGAAAAAAAAGCATTTCAAGCTTTCAAATTTGAGATGAATTTTGACAATAAAATGTAATATACTCGTAATTTAAGTGTAATGTTTTCCAGTCAAAAGTGAAAGAAGTGGTAAAAATGGCTGAATTTGGTTCGGTCGTCACCTGATCGGGTTCATGTCCGTTCTGCTGGGTTTTGCCACCGCCTTCACAAACTTCTCAGCCATCTGGATTCTGCACATTTTAAAAACCACAAAGCATAAACAAGAAAATTGTGGCCAACAGTAACATCTCTCAGCTCTTTTCACAGGTTTTTTTTTTTTTAAGTTGCGATTGATGTCTGCAGTACAGATATCACTTGAGGGGCCAAAAACACACATGTATGTTCCCAAGAAGAGAAACGTTCCGATTCCTAAAAATGCTTTGAGTGAATCCAAAGCAAACAAAATAGCATGTTTTAAAGATAAATCCAGATGACTTTGTAACAGAGCCGACATCTTACCGCTGGTTGAAGTGCTGATCTCTTACATCAGTGCCATTAAGAATCAGTGCATCCATTACATGGACAGCACTGATTCTGCGCTGAGCTTTACCCTGAGAACCAGACAGATGGTGTTACATTTGATTCTTTTGTTTCCACTTGTTTTGTCTTTATAAACATTAAGATTCGGCCCGGTTCTCACCTCCCCTTTCAGTTCTTGAACAATCTCCACGCTGAGGAGTGTTTCCCTTGGCAGCTCCAGCTTGAAATTTTCAATTTTCTTCCAGCGCAGGGGCATTTTCCCATCCCACGTGTATATCTGAGACTTCTACACAGTCAGATAGCAGAGAATGAGTTTTAAAAAAAGCACATAATTAGCACTCTGCTAGTGCTCTAGATATAAATAAAATATACCAGAAACCCTGTCCCTTCAGACCTACCCCCAGCGCAAGCAGGAAGATCTGCTCTCCGCCTCCCACGATGCACCTGTAGTCAAAAATTTGTCGCAGCTTACTGAGCGTCTTGGAGTCCAGAGGAGTTATCTTACTCTGGAACGCATCGACATCTGAGTTCTGAGGCAGAACAGAGGAAAGAAAAATCACTTTAAACACAACATTTGATCTTTTTCAAGATAAAAATATGTCCATATCTTTCATGTCAAACCTTTGTCAGCTCATAGAATTTGTTTTTTGGGTCGGAGGAAGAAGGAGCGACTCTGGCTTTGTCTGGTACCTGGAATCAGAAACCAGTTAACCATAAGTGACAGTATAAAACAACAATTATGTGGAAAATAAAAAAATAGGAAAATTAATTATTCAGCTCTTTCAAAAGAAATTCATACATATTGATGTCTACTTTTTTAAAATTCTCTCTGGAAAAGAAGGTGTTCAAAATACAGTCAATCTTAGAGTTTACAGTTTCTCCACTCACCCCCCAAAGCTTTAAGCACTCCTTCCTGATGTCGGCTTGTCTCGGCTCCGAGAGCGACCTTTAAATATGGCAACACAGTCGTTGTCAGACATGACAGTCATCTGATTATGAGTTAACACAAATATTGCACCCAGTTGGGTTTGCTTACGGGTCCATGACGTAAGCGTGGATCTTCGCCAAGGCCTTGATCTGGACTACACAGAGGCTGAAGTCACAGCAGTATTCAGTCTTTGTCAGGAATGTTGTTAAACAAGCAGCTGGTAAAACACGTTGAAAACGGCGTCCTTACCTCTCGTTGGAGTTGACCATGAACTGGTAGAAGTCTGTGTCGTCCTTTATGATGCTCAGTGGAACCACCTCTGTAACATCGTTGTCCCTGTTCCTGAGCTGGTTCAGTTTCAGGTTGACTCTGAACATGTACTCTCTGACTGCATCCGAACCCGGTTTCAGACCGCGGCACACGATGTACCTGAACGTCACACGGAGACAAGACAGTAGCTTCTTTACTTAACCTGTCTGTCACTAGAGGACCCAAATTTGGGTCCTCTCGTGACAGGGGTGTCAAACTCCAGTCCTCAAGGGCCTCTGTCCTGCAACTTTTAGATGTGCCTCTGCTACACCACACCTGAAAAGAATAATTAGGTCATTAGCAAGGCTCAGGAGAACCGATCTACACAGGGAGGAGGTAATTAAGCCATTTCATTCCACTGTTTTTTACCTGTGGCACATCTAAACACTGCAGGACAGCGGCCCTTGAGGACTGGAGTTTGACACCCCTGTCATTGTGAATGACAACCTGAGATCAACAGGTTAAAGGAGGAAACTGTACCACAAATATCTGACCAAAAGCAAAAAAAACAAAAAAACAAAAACAAAAATAGATTGACTAATTTAGTTAATTAAGCTTAGTTTTAGGTCAATCTTGCAGACAGAACTGGCAGCGACAGACGACAAGGAGGTTATTGATGGAATCTAACTGGACTAGTTTAAATCATGCATACCTGAGAGATGGTGAATTTTTTTGGATATATAAAAACGAGACAAAAGTGATCATTTATAGTTTTTAGCACAACATTGAAAGAACTAGAAAGTACTGATGACTCAAGGTCAAAATTATTTACACTGCACATTTCTAACAACTCAAGCTGGGAATAGTGCTTTAAACAATGTGGCCAGCACTTGTGGCTCAGACTTATAATTAAAAGCATTTCTAAATTCAAAATTTCAATTGAGCTGCAGTACAATGGTGACTAATATTTAGGCCAACTGCTATTATAACAGGAAACAGAAAAGTATAAAGAGATAAATAGAATTCTGTAAGATATTAAGTATTAAATAAAAATAAAAAAAACCCCAAGCAGTGGTGACAAAACCAGCCTTAAATCACCTCTAGATCTTAGTCTCGTAAAACCTTTATAAGGTCGATGTTCAAAGCTACTGAATATGGAAAAGGTTTACAACACTTCAAATGCTCTAAAACCACTATTACTTTGACCATAAAACCTCTGGAGTGTGCAGCTTATTTAAGTAAAAGCTGTAGTCATTGGTTTTTGTCCCATAAATTAGCACCGAACTACACTCAGTGGGGTTAAAACAAAAGTAAATAATGGTGTCAATGAATAAAAAAAAAAGATCAATCAGACAGCTGCAGTTCATCCAAAATGCTGCTGCGTGATTCCAGGCCAACAGCAGGAAGAAGAAAAAAACCTCAGCGGATCTTAAGTTGTTATAACCATAAAAACCCGACTTTGAAACCCGGTTACTGATCTATACAGAGATTCATTGTTATGAGGCCTAAATACTTCTCAGGTATGAGCAATCTAGATGCCTCATTCCTGAGTTCGTCACAAATAAACTCGTCTGGATCATTTTGTCACCTCTCAGAGTTGGCTGGCCTGCTGGTGACGGGTTTGAAGAGAGAGATCCTGTCGAAGCAGAGGTAGAGCAGGTACACCAAACCCACGCTGAAAGGAGTGAAGAGGTCAAAGGTTTTACATACAAAATGTCCACCTGGAAGGAAGAAGAAAAATAATAGATTTATTTAGAGAGAGCTCCACTATTTTGTTGAGTTTTCGGAAAACATTTACACACACTTGTACCTGTCCTGAGAGTGGAGAGGGCAGTGAGGAATTGACAGAGCAGCAGCTGCTTGGTGAGAATCTCCTGGATGTTCTCCTGGCCCTCCACAGAGAAACCCTACCAATGCCAGAAATCACATCAAAACCGATCGCCAGCTGACTCCACTGAAAGCACCGGGCTTACCGTCATGTTTCTGAAACGTGAGGAAAAAAACCTCAGGCGGTTATTGCTTAGAAGTCGTCTTACCCCGTCTGCCATGAGGAAATGCAGCCCTCTTCTGTCCGTGTTCTCCATGACAAAGTTACGAAACGCGGTCACGTTTTCAGGCAGAGTAATGTCACCGTCCCCGTCCACTCCACCCTCACCTGAGACGCACACGGCACAGGTCAAGCTTCCACTGAATCATTTATGATCTCGAATATAAGACGCCTCTCTTCTGCCCTCCGAGACGTGACGGTTTTATCAACACACCGTAGTAAGGCTCAAACAACTCGCTGGGCGCGGCGTAGAAATCCTCCAGTTTGAAATCGCACGGCCCTCTCAGCGTCATCCCGAAGCCTTTAGCGTGCCAACGTTTCCTCCACAGGATGTACTCCGAAAAGCCGCCGGGCCCGGCACAGACGTCGCCAAAGTACAGAAGCTCGCCCTCGCGGTCCTTCACCAGGGATTTCTACACAATACGAGAGAGTTTATTTGATCGATGTGCTTATGTGGGTCTGCGTTTTGTAACCAGAAGTTCAATGCCGCGTGTATTAGGCGCTATATGCTCACCCCTTGAGAATCTTTTGGATTGGTGAACATGTAGTCAAAGCAGTGATCGATGTTGGCCATTTTCATGGCTGCTCTAAATACAGAGAAAGCGTGACGAGATGACAAAGCGGGAACATTTTTAAACACAAAATTCCTTGCTTTTCAACATTTTTATGCCATTAAAATTGTAATTGTGGAATAACTGGTTAATTACTAAAGGTAATGAAAGTTATTACATTTAGTGAATAACTGGTTAATTATGAAAGGTAATGAAAGTTATTCCATTTAGTTTTTGCTTTCAAGGCGTTTGGATCTGTCATAGTGGCTACAGCTGTAGCATCTTTATAAACCTTGCTTCACTGTTGTAGATGTGTTTTTTGGGCTCAGAATGGTTTATTTTTCTTTTAGAGAAAACGTAAATCAGCAGATTTATCCTACTGTCAAAATCTCTTAAGGAGACTTTCCATACTTGACACATCTTAAAGGTTTCTACCATGTGGTATTTATAGATGGCAATTCTCTATCTGCCCGGCTTTTACACTTTCACTCTGTATTTTCTCACATGCTGCGTTCAGTTGAGAATATAAATGAAAAAAAAGGAGAACGTTAATGAACATACAGCTTTGATCTTTCACTGAGTTGTCATGCAATTAGTAAAAATTAATATTTTTAGAAATAAAAATAATCTAATTACTTTTTTAAATGAATAATTTTTAAATGACAAATGAGATAATTCTAATTTGTAAGTATGTTTTGTAACCTAAAAAACCCCTATAATTTGGAGTTGGACAAATTGAACTTATACAATGGAGCAAAGATAGAAAAAAAAACATTATTTTGACATTATCTAGAGTTAAAAAAGAGCAGCTAGTGATAAACCTTTACCTGTTGAGAAAGATTCCTCCTCTGATCGTCTCATAAGGGTTCGAGCGTGTTCGGGCTCTCCTCATCTCCTCGCCCTCCAGATCGTCAAACACCGTCTACATACCGCAACATTTTGGATTAAGACGATAAAAGAACCCAACACCATGAAAGTTTAACAATAATGCATAAGAGAACATTTTGGGGGGGGGGGGGGTTTTTTTCCTGAAGAACGCTTGGGCTTAAAAAGTTTAAAGACTGAAATGTTCTTTGTAGATGAAATACACATAAATTATCAGGACAAAACTTCTCTTTGAGTTTAGTACCTGGGTATCCCATAATTAGTCAATCTGCTTTTATTTCCTTCAGTTCTGATATTACATCAGACATAATAAACAACTGGTATTTTCAATATCACCTTGCAGCGTAGAAGCGTGTGAAGAAGATCTTCTGTACAAAACTCAGTTTCATCCTCAATCTTTAGTTTTCTCTGCCAGGAGACAAAACAAAGACTTAAATTTAAATAAAGCAAAAAAAAAAAAAAAAACAAGAATAAAAGTGTCAAAGCTGATAAATTACCGGTCCCAGAATCAACCAGTCCCTCAGCTCATCTGCATCTGGGGTCTCTGTGGTGCATTCTGGAAACCAGTTGACTTTCTCAGTTGCACTGGGCTGTGAGGACAAAGTTGAGATCTTTGTTCCAATAAAACATGTCTAAAGAAAAAGTGGTGAAAACAACAAAAGGTGACCACTGGTTTCGCTGACCTCTGGTTCATCCCGCCAGTCAACATTGAGTTCTCCCTGGAAACCCTGCAGCGTGAGCCCCAGGCCCCTCCTTCCACGCTGGGTGGAAGCCTCCACGATCTCTTTGCGCCCCTGGCTGAACTTACCCAGACCCTCTCCTTCTCTAAAGCCCATTTTTGCCTGAGGAAGAAGACATGATAGAAACGTTATTAAAACACAGCATTTAATTACTCTTCTGAACAATCTGACTACAAAGTAGTAAGTTTTCAGAAATCTCAAAATATCTAGACATATAAGACGAGGTTTTGATTTGATCACCATGAGCTTCTGCGACACGCTGTTGTACATGGAGAACTTCGAGGAGGTCTGAGCGGAGTCGTCGTTGTCTTGGGCATCAAAGGAGGATGTCGATATGGACGGCATGGAGAAGCTCGGCCTGTGATCCTCCTGGTCACTGAGGGAGTCATTTTGGCTCGAGTCTGGACAAGAAGACACGTACAAATAGAACAATACGTGTGTGTCAGTCTATGAGGTTTAGGATATTATCACTTTTTGTTTAAAAACATCTGGAATTGACAGATTTAGGGCAAATTTAGCTCATCAAATCCATACTGAAAACGTGCAAAAAGCACATGATGTTAGTCCGGTTAGCACACAAAGAGCACTTAATTAATTCTTTTAAACTGCCATCGCATTTTGTTCGTTAATGGTGAACATAAATTTACTTACCTTGTCTAGACAATGACTCTTCATCTGAGCTGCTTTCTTCGAGCCGCCTCTTCGTCCCCTGCAGAGGTGAATATGTTGCATCTGCTCTTCTTTTCATTATAGCTAAAAAACAAAACAGAAGAGCAATGGTGAAAACAAAAACTGTTTCAAGTCAATGTGATTTCAACCAAGAATCACTGCTAAAAAAAAAAAAAAAAAAAAAAAAAAAGTTCTGTAATGGGATTACAACTTCAGCAGATAAACACCAGGACAACAACGAACAATTGTGAGTGGACGTTTTAATCCGTTTTACTTTGCGACATTATGGATGAGTATAAATAATCGATTGAAATTTTGAATACAAACACAAGACAGACACAACTGAAATAGAAACCAAACACTTCGCTCATAATAAACTTGTAGTATGTAAAATTATATAATTTCTTGCTCCATTTTCCATGGTACTATTGACATCACAGTTAGGAGATTGAGTGTGTAAATATGGGGAGGCACAACTGGGGACTGTCGTTCTAATGCAGAGTGAAATGGAGATGCACCAATTTATTGGCCAGCAATTGGAATTAACTAATTTCCCCTTGATAAGATCTGACTTGTGACTATCCTAACATATACTGACTTTTTTTATTCATGTTTTATTTTTTAAATGTAAAGAATTCACATAACACATTTTTATGGATATTTTTGAGTTTTCATGAAAGCAAGGTAATATTTTAAGCCTAATTATCTGCTATGTTTGAGCAAGAAGGATGTACTATTTATTTTCCAGGATGAAAATAGTTAAATATAATTTAAAAAGGAACAGCGTGTGTCTAATATTTTTTTCAATAATTGCAAGCACAGAATATATGATACTTTAATAGTAAATTTCAGTTTCAAATTTTTAAGGCTGTTTGTGTTACTTAATTGCAGCTAAACAAGGAATAAAATCCCCCTTCTCCCTCCAATTCAACAACTTCAACATACCTGCCAGGAACTACACACAAACAAACAACAGTCAAACCATTACCTATCGATTATGTGGTAAATGTATTGAGTACAGGCCCATGTCAGTCCCCGTGATATGTTTTTGTAGAAAACACCAACAGGCGTAAACAAATGTAACGGGCTACTGCAGTCTGTTTTCAATGAAATGAAACTACGCAGCATTAGCCGTTAGCGTGCAATGTTAGACAACTATTTTTTGTTTTACCAGCTCGGAGGGGGAAAAGCCTCACTCTTCTGAGGGGAAATAACACCGACTGGGACTTACTGTCATAAATGTTTCAAAACGTTCGAGTAAGAATTTTATTTTGATAGAAAAATGTGCCAAAAAAGCAGTTTCTGAAGTTAACATTAGCCCGCTCTCCGTAAACAGAGCGTCCTTCTTCTCAGACGGACGCATAGAGATGACGTAACTTCCGAGAGTCTCCCAACACAACAGCATGGAGTTTTTTTTTTTTTTTTTTAACTGAGGTGTTTTGTTCTTACAGCGTGTTTATAATTTTAAATTTTCTCTTCCTTAGATTACTTCTCAGCCGTAAGTAGTGAAACAAGGCTAAATGCTCGTAGGATGTGGCAAAATATTTACAGTGGTTTTAAAATACTGCTTGGATACAAAACGTGTTTAAAATACTTTAGTTTCTTTCCTTGTAGTTTTTTATGATACGTATTTGTAATGTTTGGGTCTTAAGAATCATTTTAAACTGCAACTTGTTTATTTTTTACATTGAAAATTACAAATTGCCTTTCAAAAATATTCATAAGACTTGTATTTGGGAAACTATTTGAGAAACTAATTGAATCGAGTTATTGAAATAAATTAAACTTTCAGTAAAATTTGAATGTAATATGACTGTAATTTTTAAAGTGGAGGAAATAAGTACAAGCAGAAGTGCTATATGTGGCAAAAATCTAAAATTTTAAACCACCATAATCACAGTATCCCCTACATGAAATAGTGTTGTCAGCATCATGCTGACCTTGCTTTCTTCAGGAAGGACAGCAATCAGTATTAATCAGGATAAATGGGTAGATGGATGGGCCTAAATACAGAACAATTCTAAAATAAAGTAGTAGTTATAATAATAACAGTAACTTGTTAGAGGCTGCAAAAACTGAATTTTTTCAAAAACAAATTTCTGCACAAAGAACTCTATTTTATCTGTTATATTATGAGTGTTTGTTTTGATTAAAAAAAATACTTCCTCAACATTTATGTTTGTGTTTATTTTCATCTGTCTGAAGTGACTGGTGGACTTCTGCCATCACAGATGATGAATAGGAGTAGAAAATGTTGTTTCAGACAGCTGTGCCAGATTCCTCTGTACCACTTTCAGTGGTTTGGGAACAAACTTTAATTGTTCTTAATTGCTAAAACTACTTAGCAGTGTCCCAGTAGACGTCACTGAAGTGGAGCTTTGTTATCCTTTGTTGTATGTTAGTGTATATTTCCCTGCTCTTAATTGGTGGACAAAAGACTTGGAACATCTATCCCAGGTATAATAATCCACCGTGTCGCCAGTGGATCTGCTAATCCATCAGTGACACAAATACACACACACACACAACGATACGCACAAACCTTCCAGCTTACGCAATGACAATACAGCCAAGGTTTATATACAACCTGTAGGGACTGGATTTCCCTAGAGCAGATCATCTGATCGAAGTGTTCTTGCCTGCAGACACCGGGGAGAGCTGTTGTTGCCTCCACGCAAAGACACAGTGGGATACAGTTGCCCCGCAGCAGCTCCTGAGGGCAAGTTGCAGAGGAGTTTTGTGGCTTCAACTGTAAAGCACCAAAGGGAGCAAGAATGTTTTTTCGCATCCCTCGCCTGACCCCTGGATATATCAGATATCTGCAGGTTTGTGTGATGCTTTCAGATGCTCTTCTTGTGTGGATAGATTTCAGATCGCTTTAGACTTCGCTGTAGCTCTACAGTGGCAAATCAGGGACGGAAATTCCAACAAAGCCTGCGCTGAGTCCAGGAGTTGCATATCTTTTGATTGTTTTGAATGAAGAATTATGTGGCTGTGAATAAATTATGCTGCACAGTGTTGTGTTACTTATCTCTCTATGCACCTTATGCATATTTAAAGTCAATTTTTTTCAACTAAAAATACAAATTTTGGTAATCGACATAGCATCTTTTAGAAATTTCTGTCTAACAACAACCCTGATTTCCAAAGAGCTTACATTTGTCTGAGTCATGGCAGGATTAGGATAGAGAACCACAGTAGCCTGTCTTTAAATGGATTTGATTTGAAGTTGTCTTCAGGTCGAGCAAATACCCTCTAATTGGATCTCTGTTGCAGTTGCATCAAAGCCATTTGTCCTGATTGTTATTTCAGACACATGCAGATGAACCTTAGAGCTCTAATGTAAATGTACATTTAAAAGATTGGAGCGTGGGTTTATCTTTTGTGTTGCTGAGATGTTGTTCTGAAGTTTGATGCAGAATCAAACATAAGTGAGGATGAATGAACTGAAGTATTTGTTGTATGTTCTGATGAGATGCAAAAAGATGTAGGTGGTTTGAATTTAGCTTTTACAGCAAGCATTTTTACATAAAAAAAATAATACAATCAGGAATGCTTTTTGGTGTCCTGTATCTGCTCAAGCTTCAGAAATAACTTACAAAAACTTGCAAAACATCTTCCATTTTCAAAGAAACAAAGTCAAACAGACATTGGAAAAGACCAATACTGGAATTAGACTAATCTTGAAGGGTCACATTTTTCAGATTGTTCATTTGCCAGTGGCAGAAAAGACATAGCTGCAAATTAGTGGAGATGGATAGCTCTTATACTCCTATATTGTTTTTTTTTTCTTTTTTTTTTTCTAGACCCAGGCAGCCCAGACGATGCTGCAGAGCCGGGAGAGCACTGCCACGCCACGCCTGGCCCTCCTGATGGGTCTGATTGGTATGGGTTTGTCCGGCTACAGCTCCCGCCAGCTCACACTCCACTGCAAGCCGTCCACTCACCTCTTCAGATGAAAGAGATGAAGGAGACACCAAGTTTCTTTTGTATATATATGCATATATATTCATGTGGGTTATTTAGAAAGTATTTTCCTTGTGACGGTTGTTTTCTGGATTTTGAAAAAAACAGACAAAATCTTTAGAGATACTGATGACAGAAGTATTCTACCATTTGGCAGTTTTTATTCCAATCTTCAGTCTTTGAGTCACAGGTTTTATGAAATTAAACATGATTATTTCCCAAAAATATCAACAACTGCAAACTTACTCATCGTATATTTATGTTGCTGTTTGCGGTTTCCCATTTTCTGATTCAGGTTCAACATTTACCGAAGTTCTAACAATTTAGTATTATTATTTTGTTGTGTTTGGACTGACAAGCGTGTTGCCTTACAGTTTTGTTTAAATGGGTCCCAATAAGAGGTACCTTTATTTCTTCTGCACAGCAGAGTATTTTTTTTGTTGAATGTTAAAGATGCACAGACAAAAGGAAAGGCAGCTAATGATGTTTCTTTGGAACTTGGCTCATGTTGCACTTGGATCCTCAGCTCTCCCGTTTTCCCGTGCCTTATCATGGGATTATTCAGTTAGAAGTCGCAATTTTGCAAAAAAAAAAAAGAAAAAAAAAAAAAGGAAAAAATTAGTCGTGATGCTTATCCAAAGACATCCTATCAGAGAATCACCATGCTGTGAAGACTCATAACAAAATCTCAGAAGAGAGAGAGAAAAAAATCTACTCTGGTCAAAATTTTAGAAAGCTAACAAATATGTACTCTTACACTTATCTGTGAACATTACCTGTATAAGTAGCCATGCATGTGTTTCTTGAACACTAAATGAGATTAGTAGTGCAGGACATTGAGTCCTTCCTGCTTATTTTGTAAGGTGGACCTGGAGACAACCAGCCGGGCTCATTTGTTGTTGCCGAGCAGAGAAACCAGGACAGCCATCCTGGATGCCACCTTGGGTCAACAGGTGAATCCGCATGGATCTCTCTCGGTTGCACTCCAAATATCGTAATCTGAATGTAGATGAATGACCGTTGGAGGTCTCTTAACAAAAAAATGTACCTTTTTGTCGCTGTGTACTTGTTTGTGCTTGATGCGATTTTTAATGGAGAAAATGAACTTTGACAGCACAATGAATGTAAATAGGAGCAGTTAGACTATAATTGTAATGATGATCATATTGAAACCTCTTTGCAAAAGCAATGAGAAGGTTATGCCAATAGCATGACTGTAAAAGAAAATGTAGCATATTAACAGGTTATGATAAGTAGGGTGATCCCTAAAGATCTTCTTTAGATATAAACAATCTTAAGACCAGCTTACAACTGAGACATGAGAGGAAAAAAGTGTAAGGAAGTAGTATATTTATAGGGACACTGTGTGATTTAAAAAAAAAAGAAGTTGTATTTGATAATGCAGTAACGTATTTGATGCAGGATTGTGGTTTGAAGGCATATAATGCCTTCGCTACATATATTGAAAACAAAGCTGTTGCACTAAGAGATTTAAATGACAGTGCTTATGCTTCCTACAGCCAATATAAGACTTATCGCAAGTTTACTGAAATCTGTGCAGTAAATAAAGTACATTTTTTAAAAAAATGTAATTTTTCAGAATGGCCTGTCGGTTTGCCCTTACGGACCCGATGCACAACAAAGCACCTTAATAAACATTGTGCGCAATTGTTTATGTTTCAATAAATCATTAAAAAACCTCAGGTAAGGGGTGTGACTTGTGTTTTCTGTGACATCAAGACATTGGCCTATTTACTAGTTTGCTAAAACTTACATGAAAGAAGGCAGCAGTACCTGCTGTGTCCACTAGATGTCAGCATGCGACACGTGTATAATTTGTCTCTACTAGTGTGAAGATTTGACAGAAATGAAAGTAAACAGATAAAACAAACATGTTTAAAAAGGGGGACTATTATATATTATAATTTTAGAAATAGAAAATTATTTTTGCCCAAGTATAAAAGTCAGTAATAGAATATGAATCTATAATATCAAGAGTGTGTCTTTCTAATTTATTTGATGTATAGATAATATCAATTTGAACAGTACTGCAAAATGTAGTCAGTGTGATGTAACAATAAATCACATCTGTAATTGAGTCTGACCCAATTACAGACATAAAAAATACAATTTTCCGCTAAATATAATGTATAATATCGCATTCAGAAAAAAACATAGAGCAGTGGGCGCCAGCTTCAGTAATCGAGCTATACCACCCTGCAACTTTTGGAAGCATCCCTTTTCCAACTCACTTGTCTCAAATGAGTAGCTCGTTAAAAGGCCTCTGCAGAGCTGAATGACTGATATGATGACTTAATTCAGGTGTGCTGAAGCAAGAATGTATCTAAAATATGCAGAATAGTGACTATTCAGGACTAGAGCTGGAGTTGGGCACCCTCCCCCACCTGACCTC